CAAGTGACAGAGATTAATATGTGCTGTGGGATGAAGCCAGAATGAAGCATGATTGGTTAATCAGAGCGAGTTTGACTGGGGTGCTGAGATGTAAATGTGGAACAGTGGGAGGAAACGGGCTTCACTCACCAGCCTGGCCTTCTGCCCTTCTCCAGTCTGAAGCAGCCAAGGGAAGACAGGGAATTAGAACATTAGGACTCTTCAGCTTCCCCGCTCACAAAACACATTGTGCACCTACCCCTGCCCCTCTCCCCTTTCTCCTGCCACCCACACAGTTAGCATGGTTCCAGTCTGGGCATCATATCTGGTTGGGAGTGAGAGGAAGATACATGGATAACCAGAAGCAGAAACATAGATGAGAAGAAATAGTTCTAAGAGGGGTCACTTACCCAGCTCCATCTGAAGCTTCTCTGTAAGCAGAACACATGGAGGAAACATCAGCCTTCGGATGAGTGAAACCACTCTCTCAAGGCAGGGCACTTAAACCACTGCTAACCCCAACCTTATCCTTGGCTCTACAAGGCCTACGCAGAACACATGGAGGAAACATCAGCCTTCGGATGAGTGAAACCACTCTCTCAAGGCAGGGCTCTTAAACCACTGCTAACCCCAACCTTATCCTTGGCTCTATAAGGCCTAAAAAAGAAGTCCCATCTGAAAGATTCTAATGCTTCATCCTATTTTTTGCTCAAAGGCAGAAATCCATACTTGCTCAGGAAGGGAAAGCAGGTCTCAGTATTAAGGGGCCTCTTCCAAGGACTCAGGTCTTTTTGAAGAGGCTACTGCTCATTCATCACAGGCTTTTCATGAGGCTCCTGAATAAGTCCAGGCACTGAGCACAGCCTGCGTGGGCCTCAGGGTCACTTACTGGCTACATTATTTAAAGAACTAGAAGGATATTACACACATCACACCAGCTTACCCCAGTGGTCTGCAGCCAGCACTATTGGCATGGCACTCAGAACTTACCCAACTGTGCTATAAATTTCCCTGGAGAAGAAACAAAGAATAGAGAAAAATCTCTTATGTTGGGAGTACGAGTCAGATAGGATAGACCAATGTACACTGAAGCTTCATTTCCCCAAAGTGCACAGACTCCAGCCCTGTTCGTCTAGGAGCCCTGGCTGGGCTGGATAAGAGCAGCTCCAAAGCTGGGGAAGGGGAAGAGCAAAGCTCTGTCCCACCCCCTTTCAGCCCTGCTCTTGAGCTCCTCCTCACCCTCCCTTTCACCTGGTTGACCCAGTGCCCTCCCTTCTCCTAGTCAGGGATGCGGGCATAGTGTGTACTTACCTTGTTCCTTCTCTGCCTGCTTCATCAGCTTTTCTGAAAGGAAGAAGGAAGGGAGAAGACTGAGTATGCACCCTCCTCCACCTATTTCCATGTCCCATTCCAGATCTGTCCCCTTCTTTCCACTCTATGCCCCCTCTACCACTTTCTCCTGAACAAAGCCAGCTTCAGAAGTGCAGCCCCAGGGCCTGCCTCGTACCTTGGGACCTCCGTTGCTTCTGAAAGAAGTACAGCACCAGAATCGTGAGAAGAGCTAGGATGAGCAGCAATCCCACCAGAGTCCCAAGGAAAGCTGTCTTCCATGGGGAGGTTCCAGGTAAAAATATGTCTAGAAAACACCCCACAGGGAGTTGTGATAACTGAAAAAACCTGCTCTGATCAGGTCAGCTAAATTGTACTGCTTTGGGAAGTCTAGGGTAAATCAGTAGTTATGTCCCATGTCCTGTAAAACTTATCATAAGAGCATTTTTACTTAGAAACATACATACTGGTACCAGAAAAGTAATAAAGTAATTAAATAACTTAGAATGCTTCTTGTAACCCTTACCCTCAATTCCTGTATGCAGCATCCTAGCATCTAACCTAGTAGCAATCCAAAATCTATATGTATGTAGTAGCCAATAAACTGATGTGGTGATTAAGGGGGCTGTCCTCTTCTCTCTCTCCTTTGATTCTTCCACTTTCTTGTGATTATAAAATACTAAGCTCTGCTGGTCCCTTATAGAATACATTTCTCAGGGTGACCTCACTATGCAAATAGAAATGAAAAAAGAGCTGGAGTAGCTATTCTCATATCAGATAAAATAGACTTTAAACCAGAAACCATAAAAAGAGATAGAGAAGGCTACTGTATAATGATAAAAGGACCTATCCAACAAGAAGACATAACAATGATAAATATATAAGCACCCAACATTGGAACAGCCAGATTTATAATGCAAATACTTATTAGAGCTAAAGAAGGAGATAGACACTAATACTATAACAGCAGGAGAACTGAACACCCCACTCTCAACATTGTACAGGTCATCTAGGCAAAAAATTAACATAGAAACACAAGATCTAAACAACGTTTTAGAACAATTGGACTTGACAGATATCTACAGAACATTTCATCCAACAACCTTAGAATATACAATCTTTTCATCAGCACATGGAACATTCTCCAGGATAGACCAAATGTTAGGTCACAAAGCAAGTCTCAACAAATTCAGAAAAATTGGAGTTATTTCACGTATTTTCTCAGATCACAATGGATTAAAACTAGAAATCAATAACAAATGAAACTCTGGAAACTATACAAATACATGGAAATGAAACAGCATTCTACTCAATGACATATGGGTCCAAGAAGAAATTTAACAGGAAATCAAGAAATTTATTGAAACTAATGAAAATAATAACACACCATACCAAAACCTGTGGGATACTGCAAAAGCAGTACTAAGGGGAAATTTGTGTTGAAACTAATGAAAATAATAACACACCATACCAAAACCTGTGGGATACTGCAAAAGCAGTAGTAAGGGGAAAACTTAGCTCATTAAATGCTTACTTCAGAAGAATGAAAAGATGGCAAGTAAACAACCTAATACTTCACCTTAGAGAACTAGAAAAACAAGAACACTCCAAACCCAAAGTTAGTAGATGGAAAGAAATAATTAAGATCAGAGCAGAACTAAATGAAATAGAAATCCAAAAAATGATTCAAAAGATCAATGAAACAAAAAGTTGGTTTTTTGAAAAGATAAATAAAACTGACAAACCATTAGCAAGGCTAACTAAAAAAAGAAGAGAGAAGACCCAAATAACAAAAATTAGAAATGAATAAGATGATATTACAACTGATACCTCAGAAATACAAGGAATCATTAGAGATGACTATAAACAACTGTATGCCAACAAATTTGAAAATCTGGAGGAAATGGATAAATTTCTGGACACACACAAACTACCAAGACTGAGCCAAGATGGCATAAAAAATCTGAACAGACCAATAACAATCAAAGAGATTGAAGCTGTTATCAGCAGCCTCCAAACAAAGAAAAACCCAGGACCAGATGGCTTCACTGCAAAATTCTAACAAACTTTTAAAGAAGAATTAATACCAATTCCCTACAAACTATCCAAAAAAATTGAAAGAAAGACCATTCTCCCAAACTCATTCTAGGAGGCAAACATCACCCTGATACCAAAACCAGACAAAGATACAACAAAAAAAGAAAACTACAGGCCAATATCTTTGATGAATATAGATGCAAAAATCCTCAATAAAATACTAGCTAATAGAATACAACAATACATGCATAAAATCACATGCCATGATCAAGTGGGATTTATCTCAGGGATGCAAGTTTGGTTCAACACACACAAATCAATAAGTGTGATACACCACATCAACAAAATTAAAGACAAAAACTATATGATCATCTCTACAGACACTGAAAAAGCATTTGACAAAATACAACATTTGTTCATGATGAAGACTCTATAAATTTGGTATAGAAGGAAAGTATCTCAACACAATTAAAGCCATATATGACAAACCCACTGCCAATATCATCCTGAATGGGGAAAAGTTGAAAGCTTTTCCTTTAAGAACAGGAACAAGACAAGGATGCCCACTTTTGCCACTCCTATTCAATACAGTGTTGGAAGAACTAGCCAGAGCAATTAGGGAAGAGAAGGAAATAAAGGGCATCCAGATTGGAAAAGATGAAGTCAAACTATACCTGTTTGCAGATGATATGATCCTATATATAGAACAGCCTAAATACTCTACAAAAAAACTCTTAGAATTGATAAATGATTTCAGCAAAGCTGCAGGATACAAAATCAACATGCAAAAATCATTAGCATTTCTATACTCCAACAATGAACTAGCAGAAAAAGAAATTAGAATAGCCCATTTACAATAGTCACCAAAAAAATAAAATACCAAGGAATAAAGTTAACCAAGGGGCTGGCCCGTGGCTCACTCGGGAGAGTGTGGTGCTGATAACACCAAGGCCATGGGTTCGGATCCCATATAGAGATGGCTGGTTCACTCACTGGCTGAGTGTGGTGCTGGAAAAAAAAATAATAAAGTTAACCAAGGATGTGAACAATCTCTACAATGAGAACTGAAAACCACTGTTGAGAGAAATTAAAGAGGACACAAGAAGATGGAAAGATATCCCATGCTCTTGGATTGGAAGAATTAACATTGTTAAAATGTGCATATTACCCAAAGCGAGCTACAATACAATCCCCATAAAAATTCCAATGAAATTTTTCTCAGAAATGGAAAAAACAATCCTCATATTCATATGAAATAACAAAAGGCCACAAATAGCCAAAGCAATACTGAGCAAAAAAATAAATAAATAAAGCTGGAAGCATAACACTACCTGACTGTGAACTATACTACAAAGCTATAGTAACCAAAACGCATGGTACTGGCATAAAAACAGACACAAGGACCAAATCCAGAAATCAACCCATACACCTACAACATCTGATCTTCAACAAAGGCACCAAGTCTAAACACTGGGGAAGAGACTGCCTCTTCAGTAAATGGTGCTGGGAAAATTGGACATTCATGTGTAAGAGAATGAAACTAGGCCCGTACCTCTCACCATATACCAAAATCAACTCAAAATGGATTAAAGAATTAAATATACATCCTGAAACAATAAAAGTCCTTAAAGAAAACATAGGGGAAACAATCAAGGAAGTAGGATTGGGTACAGACTTTACGAATATGACCCCAAAAGCACAGGCAACCAAAGGAAAAATAAACAAACTAAAAAGCTTCTGCACAGCAAAAGAAACAATTAACAGAGTGAAAAGACAACCAACAGAGTGGGAGAAGATATTTGGAAAATAGACATCTGACAAAGGATTAATATCCAGAATATAGAAGGAACTCAAACCACTTAACAGTAAAAAACAAGTAACCCAATTAAAAAATGGGCAAAGTAGCTGAATAGGTATTTCTCAAAGGAAGATATATGAATGGCCAACAGACACATGAAAAAAAAATGATCAGTGTCACTCAGCATTCATCTAAAGAGTGGAGCTTATGGGTTTTAGTATATGGCCTTTGACAAAGAAATATTGGCTCTCTGGGGCCTCCCCTGCTTACTGTTTGGGTTGTCAGCTGTACTCAGTAGGTCCCTGATATCCAAGTTGTTGACTGGCCTTGACACCTGAAAAGTGTCAGCCAGGCCCCAGTATCACCCCCTGTCCTTGCAGACTGCCTTTGGGCCAATGGGCTTAGAGAACATGATGACTAGGAAAATCAGGTTGAGTCAGCAGCCACTGACCTGCTATCTGAACCATAAACTCTTTCTTCTGGATCAGCAGGGGGTTCTCGATGGAGCAGGACACGTTGCTGTGGGCCCCCACTCGGACAACCACAGATGTTTCCAGACTGAACAGGCCCCAGGCGTCCTGGACGATGGCTTTGGATTCTGGAGGCAGGCACTGTCCCTGACGGTCTCTCCATTGAGCCTTCGGCTTGGGGTACCAGCCACTGGAAGTGCACCTCAGCTGAATACCTCCTTCCTTGAAGCCCTCAAGGGAGATGTGAGGGTCTGAGCCCAGCCCTAGGAGAGGCAGGAGGAGTGGGAAAGATCAGGCTCCTTCCCAGAAGTTGTGTGTGGAGTTCATGCCACTGTTTGTCATCTGCAGTCACTACAGGTGTTACAAGCTGTGACTGCTCTTAACACATGTGTGCACTTGTGGCCTCCCACCTGTGAACTGAAAATCACAGTTTAAATCAGTGGTGGCATTTGGGAACAATACTATCCCTGAAGGACATTTGGAAATATGAAGGGTGGTCATTTCGTGGGGAAGTGCTACTGGCATTTAGTCATATTGCGCAAGGAACAGTCTCCCTAGAATGAAGAATAGTCTCACCCCAAATTCCAATTCACTGTCTTCTCTCTCTGGAATCCCACCAAGTGCTCGAGTGCCCGTGCTATACGAACTCCTTTGTCTCCCAAACTTTGTGAAGTTAGCTTTATACTTTGAATATATAAAACATTAATATGGTTGAAATATCAATACCATATAAAATGTGTACAAAGTGTATTAGTCCATTTCCGTTCATTCTAACAAAATACCCGGAAATGGGTGATTTATAAGAAAACAAAACTTATTGCTTACAGTTTCTGAGACTGGGAAGCCCAAAGTCCAGGGAACACATCTAGTGAGGGTCTTGGTGGTGGGGACATTGACCCAGAGGACTCATATGGCAGAAAATGACTGAGCAGAGAGACACTAACCTCTCATGTGCTCTTCTTTTAAAGCCCTCAGAACCATCCCTTATTTAATCCACTCACTGCAGCACGGTCCTACAACCTAGTCACCTCTTCAAGGCCCCACCTTTCAATTATCATGATAGGATTTCCCGCCCTCAACAGGTACAGCGGGGATCTAAGCTCCAGTGAGGTTGGGGATGGTATCCAATCTACAGCATCAGGAAAGCCCAGGCCCTTTTCTACCCTTTGCATCCTATTACCCTCCCTGCCCTTGGGTAACAAATTTCATTAGTTTCTGGTTCATCCTTCCTGCATTTCTTTTTGCAACATTTCTCCTTCTTTCTCACACACACAAATATATATTACTGAACCTCTTTTTCATCTTACTTTTTTCTCTTAATACTATTTTTTTTTTTGGCAGTTGGTGGGTAAGGGGATCCAAACTCCTGACCTTGGTGTTACTATCACCATGCTCTCCCAAGTGAGCTAATCAGTCAGTCTTGTCTTAACAACACATCTTAGAAACTACTCCACATCTGTTCCTAGAGCTTCTCCTTATTTTTTTTCAGCTGCATATTATGGATCACTCCATTGTTGGGTGGATCACACTCAGCTCTTACACTTGAACATTTAGGTAGTTTCCACTATTTTGCAATTACAAATAATGCTGCAAAGATTAAACTTACATACATGGCTCCTTCCTATCAGAGGTGTTGGAGGTGCATCTTCAGCATAAATTTCTAGAGGTGTGATTGCTGGGTCAAAGGGTAGATATGTAGGCAGTGCTCTTAGTTATTTCCAAATTCCCCTCTCCTGGAGCTTCGCGACTTTGAACTCCACTAACAAGGTACAAGAGGGCTTGCTCCCACAAAGCTCCGCCAAAACCGTGTGTTCAAACATTAGGATTTTTACCAGTTTGATAAGTGAAAAATTGCATCTTGATGTAGCTTTAGTTTGCCTTTCTATCATCATGAGTAAAAATTATCATCTTTTCACATGCTGAGTCACCTGTGTATTTTTTTTTTGTGTGAACTGTTTCTTTTGTTCATTTGCTGATGGACCTATCCCTCAATTTTTTATTTTTATTTTTAAATTAGGGATATTTTCCTTTTCTCTGTGATTCTATATCTACTCTTGAGCAAAGCAGCTGTATCCAAATGGACTCATCTCTCCTTGACCTCTGCTGGGGCTTGGCCAAGTCACGCACCTGCTACCTCCAGCTCCCAGACAGCTTCACCGGAGAAGTCGCTGGAGAGGAAGCGGCACCCATACCGGCCCTCATCGGAGGGCGCCACACGGTGGAGCTGCAAGATCACGCTGCCGTCAGCGATGTGGTCCTTGAGGAGTTCGGTCCTGTTCTGGAACTGCGCCATCTGCCGGCTGTGGCGCTCCTGGCGCTCCTGGTACAGGTGGACCACCTCCGAGTCCCGGTCCCGGAACCACAGGATCTCCATGTGCTCGGCGTCCAGGGACGACGACAGTTGGCACTGGAACTCCACCTCTTCCCCGACGAGGGCCAGGATGGATTCCCCAGGGCCTATCACCTTGATCTCCTCTAGGACGAGAAGCCAGAACAGACAAAATCAACCATCTTCAAATGTAATTTTTTATTACACCCCTTGGCAGGTCGGGAATCAGTAAACCACTCAAATGAGGAAGGAGAAATACTCTACAGAACATGGTCTGGTTTCTTGAATAAATAACTGTCACGAAAAAAGTTAGTGTGATAAATTTAAAAAACATACAAGGGACATTACAACCAGATGCAATGTATGGTGTTGAACTGGTTTGAACCAATAAACTGCAAACATTATTTTGGGGACAGTTATTTATATATAGCCAAGGCATTAAAAGAAATGGAATCTTTGGCTGGGGGGCGGGGGGGAAAGCAAGTTTCAAAACAATATGTGCACTATCATCTTGAGTAAAAATTACATATTTGCATAAATGTTCAGAGAAAAAGATCTGAATGGAGAGACACCAAATCGTTGATAGTGGCAATTTGCGTAAAATGGGAATAGATATTTACTTATTTTTGCTTGTCTGATTTTTCTGATTTCTTATAATGCACATGTACAGTTTCTAGAAAAATAAAGGGCATTAAAAAATAATCTATGGAGGATCCCTGCTCCCTGGGTTTTCCTGTGTGAAGACCAGCCAAATCCTGCCTTTGAGACATTTATCATGATCTTTCATTTGATTCTCTTCCTCTGCAATGGTGTCTCCATGTGTCTCCCACACACTGATGTCTGGCCCTCCCTCTCCCTGGGCACACCCTGCCTCAGTTTGCCCTCCATCTGTCATCTTATGGGGGAATGTGCATCCTGCAAGGCTCTGCTCAAACAGTACCTCTTCTATATGGTTCTCGTTGGCTTTCCAGGAAAAAAAGTATTTCTCTTAGCTGTGCTCCCATAGTCTTTGGATGTGATTCTCTTGCAGCCCTGGTCATACACTGGATGGCCATTTATGTCATGTCCATCCCCCTCCCTTGACCATGAACTGCTTGAGTACCTTGGCTATGCCTCAGTCTCCCTGGTATCCCTGGTTTCCAGACCAGGACATTTTGCATAATTAGTTTACACCCTCTGTTGGCTGCTTCTTTCACCAGAGATGGTAGGAACATGTGAGGTCTTTCCTGCCCTTCAAATGCTATACGGGGTCCTGGGGAAGTGTATAGGGGGGCTGGGGTGGGGGGAGAGAATGGGTGAAGAACTGAGGGGCTGGATGGTGCTCAGGGACAGTGGCTCTTTAATAACTGGGAAGGAAATCTTTTTGCATTTTACCAGCTGGCATGGTGGGCAGAGCTGAGGTGCTCATGTTCTGGCTGGCTGGGCTGCAGATCACACATGCTACCTGAGTTTGGCTCCCCAGGCCGGAGAAGGAGGAGGAGAAGGAGGTAGGTGTGGAAGAAGAGACTGCTGGGCAGAGATCCTCTCTGCGAGGAGTCCAGGGAGACTAGGAAATTCACCATCTCTTGTCAGCAGTTGGGGCCACCTGGAGAGGGACAAAGAAGTGCTGAAGTGATGTGGGGGAGCTGGACCTGGTCCATCGGGCCTGAGGTCTGTCATTGCCACAGTTATTTTTTCCGGTTCTCGAGTTCCTTACCAGCCCTAGTACCTGGCTTCTTTTAACCCACAGCCAGATTGAGAGCTGCTTCTAATTTTATCCGGCAGCACTGTTGATAGCGTCATCGGCCTTGCTCAGAGCTGTGAGAGGATAAGGCTGAAAGGTCCCAGAGGAAGCAGCTTCTGAGCTTTATATTGTTTAGAGCCAGGAATAGAGCCACTCATTGTGTGGTGGCTCAGCAACCCCCTCCTCTGGATTTGGTGACTTTCCACAAACAAAGAGAAATCTCTGAAGAATCTCACATACAGCTGAAAGGTCCCAGAGGAAGCAGCTTCTGAGCTTTATATTGTTTAGAGCCAGGAATAGAGCAACTCATTGTGTGGTGGCTCAGCAACCCCCTCCTCTGGATTTGGTGACTTTCCACAAACAAAGAGAAATCTCTGAAGAATCTCACATACGTTTTTATTCTCCCTGTCTCATCACCACCTACCCAACCTTTCTCCCACTTCACTTTGCCCTGGAACATTAGGTCCACAGAACAGAACACAGAGTTCTGCTCTTTCAGAAGTGAGCGCATGCCCAGCAGCTGCCTGAGAACTGCAGTGACATTCTGGAACTTATTCCTCCAGAGACCTCGGGTGGTGCCTCCAGGAGGTCAGCTGATAACTGTCTCGGTGTCTATAGCATCTTTGAGCGACCAGTGAAGGGTGATCCCATCTAGCCACCCTTCCCCTCACCTATGGTCTGGGAGACCCAGCTCCAGCCCAGACAAGGGCCGACCCCTCCCACTCCTGATGCGCTCTTGGACCCTGCGGTAACGTCTCACAGTCTGGCTGTCAGTGAATATGGTGCGGTTAACACATCTTGGGAGACGTACAAACCTTTCCACATTTCTTCTCCGTTTAGTTGTGAGATTTAAGGCAGAATTTGTAACTGAGTGAACCTCAGTCTCCTTGCTTGAACGATGGAGGAAAGAAACCAATGTCAACTCAGAGGGTCATTAAACCTCCCGCGGGCTGGCTGGGTGCTCTTTAAGTAAACGCCAGTGCCTCCTCCTTCTCCCTCCACCTTCCAAACATCCCCTCTGTCTTCTTCCAGAGACTGCATCCTCTCCATTCACTCCATCACAGCACCCCAGGCAGGGAAGGCCCACAGTGGGCCTCAGACTCCCCTTCTCCTGCCTTCTGCCACTCTATTCCCCCCTGCTTGGTTCCTTCTGCAGATCTACAGTGTGGCACATGTCCCTGGTATCCCATGGCTGCAGAGCCCCAGCCACACTGTCAGCAATACAACTGTCAGAGTGTAGATGAAAGGTTTTACAAGCTTCTGGGTCATGCTGCAGAAGAGGGGTCATAGAGGGTATGTGAGGATGAGTTAATCCTGGGGGGCTCCCTGAGTGACCCCTGGGCCAGGAAGGATCAAGGCTGCCAGGAATACAACGGGATGAGGGGCAATGGTCTGTGAGGTGGGGTGGGCCAGGCAGTTCTGGCTCTGCCCTCCTGGAGCTCAAACGCTGTCAGAAGGAGGTGGAGCAAGCTGAGGGACTCCATTTGTGCTTCATGAGGGGCCGCTCACAAGGAGGAGGTAGGAGCCCCTCCACGGGGGCTTGGCTGTTTGATGACCAGCAGTTATTGGAATCATTATTCTCACAATAAGCAGCAGGAACAGAGGCCTTGAGCCAGGGCTGAGGCTCTGGCTGGAGGTCTAGCTCCCTGCCCTTTGTGGCTGACAGTAGGAATGTGTCTATGACAGGCCTGTAAATGGTCAGTGAAGGATCAGAGTCCACCCCGGCTTTGTGCTTCCTCACCATCTCCCTCATTCCCTTTTCTTTTGTGCCTCAGTCTTTCCTTTTGGTTAGAACTAGACACTGGTTAGAACCCCATGAGGGCAAAGCCATGAGGGGTCTATCAATGTGCAGATAATGCCCTCCAAAACAAGGGGGCTCAGGCTGTGTTTGTGGATCCATTTGGATGGGCCGGATTCTGAACAATTATTTGAGGCATGAGTTTGGTGGTAACGCAGGCCCTCTCAGGACGAAGGCATTAATGGGGCATTAGACAGGCCCTGTAGCTGGGGGCAGTTGGCCCCACAGAGGAGCACTTGCTCTAGTTTTCCTGGACAGGGGGAGGCTGCCACCTCCTGGGGGGCAGGGGATTGGGGTAGTGTGTTCCAGAACTGTGCAACTGCTAGAGGGACCACAGTTCTCTGCTGTGATACACCCATCTGATTTCCATCACTGAGGCTGCAGAAGGTTGTCAAAGCACACAAACAATCACATACATGTGCCCACAGTAATAAACACGAACACGAATTGGGCACTTAACTATACCACGAGCAGTATTCTTCTTATTATTATTACTAAAAGGTCAAAATTACAGATAATCAAGGCACAGGAGGCTTGACGCTCCTGCACACACAGCTAGTAGGTGGTTCTATCTATCTGGTTCCGGAGCCTTGCTCTATGCTTCTCTGGATACAAATTCCTCAGCAGCTGTGTCGTGTGTCAGGTCTGGACACACAGTTCAGTCACTTCTGTTACCCAAAACTGCTATTAGGAACCACCCAGCCACAGACACAGTACTCACCCTGACCAGGCATCTCACAGGTACACTCAAGAAGCGTCTGGGTCATGAGGTGTCAGCCACAAAACCAACCAACCAACCAACCCACAAACAAATGAATAAAAATGTTAAAATCCCACTGCCAGATAAAACAGCTTAAAAGTGGAGTCTCCCTAAGACTATGTCTACCGTATCTTCTCAGACAGGAGGCACAAAGTGCTTCATCCCTTTGCCCCAACACTCAAGAATGTCACCTTGAAAGCCTTTAACCACAGGGAGACGATCTAGCAATTTCCTGAAGGGAAAAGTCACTGACTTGCCCCTTTGTGCCCCGTACAGCACCCTCCTCCCCACTTGCTGCCTGAAGCCCACCCTTTCCAGCCTCACTTTCCAGTTTAAAGCTCTAATCCTTATTGAAGTTCAAGGACCCCCTTGAAAGAAATACTCTCCAATTTCAGCTCTTCATAGCACAGTTTAAATGGATCTCAGATTGTTCCAGTGAGGAGTTTTGCTAGGGGAAGGAATGAGACTGGGCACGTGGGATATTTGGGGAGGTTAGAGAACCCAGTGAGGGGTTCAGGCTAGAGCTGAGCTTTGCTGGTGGGGTACCTTTTCTCTGCTCTCCTGGGAGCCTCTGGGCTGTTCCCTCCGGAAGACATGGGAAGAAATAAGGGGTCACACACACATGCCAAAGAAATGCCGCCCCCAGCCCTCCACCCAGCGGAAGCCCATTTCTCCCTTTCCCTCCTTCTCTTCTTTCTTTTCCTTTACTTCTCACTCTCTCCCTGGCCCAGCCACGCCCCGCTCCTGTTCTCTTCTCCTGCATCTCCAATTTCTAAACAATGCTCAGTGTTCTTTGGATTTCCAGTCCCTCAGCTTTTGCATCTCCTGAAAGATTATTATTTTTTGCTTTTGCTACTTTTGTCGGCTCAGACTGTGTAACTGTAGTATGCTTTGCCCTTATTCCCTCCTCCATGTCCTAAGCAGTGAGCCCCGAGGGGTAGGTAGGGCTTTTACCTCCCACCCTCCCCCGTCCCGTGCCCTCTGCAATGCCTTGCTCTCCAACCACTGTTACTGCTCACTGGCCTGTACTTGTTTGATTTCAATAGACGTACAAGAGGATTCCCACCCCCAGTTTCTAAGGGAGATGAACTGACTCAAGAGGGGAATCTCAGAGAGGCTTGAAATCCTTTTCATTTGAGCAGGAAATGGGACACATCAGAATCCTGACTCCTCAGGTGGAGCTTGCCTGAACGGGCATCTCCTCTGGGCCACACTCAAAACATCCCGTCCTGCAGCCAGGCTCAGCTGATAAGATGATGCCACACATCACAGGCTCTCCCTGAAAGCCTCCCATCATCATTTTCTGCTTTCTGTTTCTGAAAGGTAGTGGTTTAGATAGCTGTTGAGAATGAGCCACATACCTGGCATGTAGCAGGAAAAGGTCCAAAATGTCAGATGAGTGCTGGTGACCTCACCTCCCCTGCAAAGGGCGACAACTGTTGCAAAATGCCTTGGTCCTAGACGCTAAGACCCCCTAGACAAAGGCTGGCAGCTGAGTTCAGGGGGCTAGCTCATTTGTGACAGAATTATTCACCTACCTTCCACCTTAAGACATAAGCTGTCTGCTCTGCCCTTTGCTATAAAAACCAAGATGGATAGAACAAAACGAGGAAGTCTCCATCACATCCTGTCTCTGTGAGGAAAATCGTGAATTGAATTCCCATGGAAAATGTCCCTGCAGGGTCTTAGAAGGAGGGGAAAGGTATCTGGGAGTTTCGTAGAGACTGAAAGCTGCAGAGGCTCACAGTGGGAAAAAACACTCCAGCTGGCTGCGCGGATCTCTGGGCGGGTAGAGCTGGGACTCCAGGGAAGGCAAGAGGACCGTCCCTAGCTAGTCCCTCTCGTCACAGCAAAAGAGACAGAGAATAGACAGCAATCTCCACTAACTACGGGCTGGGAAGAGACTGGAGTCAACCTCTTAACCCCCTACACCCTTCTCTGCATGGCAAGGTCGGTAAGGAAGATAGTCATACACAGCTTGGAAGTACAGTGGGGTGCTGTACTGGAATTTCTCAGATGCAGTGGGGCTAAAAAAAAGCAGCAGCAGCAACAATTACTACCTCTCCCCACCCCATTTGGCCATGGGCCACAGTGTGACTTTGCTATTAGTGGGAGAGAAGCACAGTTGACCAAGGCTCTACCACCTGGGTGTGCCCCACACTGACATCCTCTGTAGGGGACAGGTCAGAGCTGTGGCACTGGGTAGCTCAAGCACATAGAGGACACTCCAGGGACTCTCAGAAATGCCTGGTGTCTGGAGAGGGGCCTGCGGAAGGTGCTAGGGTAAGCAGGTGAGTAGGCGGAGGTGGGAATCAGTGAGCCACAGGGTACGGACTTGAAGGCGACTGTGCAAGTTCAGACCGCATGGGAGGCTTGACTTGCTCATGTGTAAGGATGTGCCTCGGGCAGCACAAGGGGCGGAATGCTGAGCTCAGATGGTGGGTGCAGGTCCCTGGGGCTGAGGAGACA